AAGGAAAGGAGGTCATTCTTTGTGAAACGGAGGGAGTAAAATTTATTTGTAAAATAATTGAAAGTTTTATTTTTACTTAATTTCTTAGTAATTAAATTATAAAATTTAATACACATGAGACTACGCCCCCTAGATTCATAAGACTTACGCCTGTATCTCGGGACTTACGTCTCGCCTCACGCTATCGCCTTTTAAAACTCTGATTGCATGCATACTCAAGGGCCAGAGGAGGCCAACCTCATGATGCATGAGGAGTGGGGTTTACTATCCTCAGGTCTTAAATGAGCAGAAAATTTCTAGCTCGGCCTCACCCATTCAACGGTTTGGGATTGGGTTGGGCTGATCTTATGGATCAAGCCCATTTTGACGGTTATACACATTATTAGTTGACTTCGAGAAGAATAGAAAAATTCTATAAAAGATTAAAGAAAAATAAAAATCATGGGATTAAGGATGGAATTATATAGTTTAAAGAATGATTTTAAGAATTTTGATCAAAATAAGTTGAAGCTATTTCGAAAAGAATTAGGGCAAGCGTATAAGGATGAAAAAAATCTACTAAAGCAAAATTTTAGAATTTCATGGTTTCAGAATGAAGATAAAAATATTTTTTTCATATGAAAACCATCTAAAGACGTAAGTGTTCAAGTTTAATGTTAGAACATTGTTTTATAGGTGTTTGATGTCAAAGTGGCCAAAACAAAAAATCTGAGAAAGTATTTCGATTTGGACACTTTACAAGTCACATAGATTTGAAACACGGTCATGAATTATAGAGTAGAAAAAATTAAGGATCGAAACCTGAAGGGTTTTTGAGGTTGACCTAGTTAGGTCGATCCCCATTTCCTCATGGGTGATCACTCCCTCTTTATCTAGAAATCCAATATAGTTTGAAGCGTTCGACGATTTTAGAGTCAGCATGTACTCAATACTAAATGATTATAAAATGTAAATTGATCATATTATAATATTTTTCTGCATTAATGATGAATATATTAAAGGAATCAACATTATAAAGAAATCAAAATAAGAGAAGTGGGAGTGATTAGTATATAGATCATAAAAAAACTGAATTTAATGTTATTTGAGCTTATCCATTATTTAGTGTTTCTCCTTATAAGTTGTTAGCTTTTAGAAAATTTGTCTATCGACCGTCAGCGTCCTAAAATTAACTTTTCATTAATATAATTATCTGTAACTATAACTATATACTAGTATTATATGTTTAATTGTGAACGCAATAAAACAATTCCATTTGTACTTTTGGACATATGGTAAAGAAAAAAACTAGGAAAAATCAATTTTGTAGTTCCTGCTAATCATAAATGGATTAACAATGATTAAAATATATAATTAACTTTAATTCTATATGAAGTCAGTCCTTATGTGGACATGCATTAAAAATTTATACAAATACTTTCACACCTAAATAGGAAAAAATAAATAAGATAAAAATCATCCTTCTCAGGGAAAAAAAGGCAAAAAGATTAAAGTAAAATCCCAACATTATAGGAAAAACATTTAAATTAGCAAGAATTCACACATTATAAATATAAACATTCTCCCCTAACGCTTTGTCAATCATCTTCATATTAATCCTCAAGAGAGTTCTTAAAATCTTAATTAATGAATCATGCAATCAATTAACATCTTGTTATTTGTCTTTGCATCTCTTTCCTTACGCTACGGTACGTACTCTTTACTTCTTAAACTCGTTAATATATAACTTTGTAATTTAAGCACTTGTTTAATTATATTGACATTTTTTTTATTTGGTAAAAAAAAGGTGTTGAAGGAATTGGAGTGAACTATGGATTTCTGGGTAACAATCTACCGCCACCAGCACAAGTGATCAGTTTCTTGAAATCCAAAAATATACAAAAAATCCGAATTTTTTACCCGAACCCGGACGTGTTAAAAGCGCTAGAGAATTCTGCCATTTCAGTAATTCTTGGTACTCGGAATGAAGATTTACAAGCACTTGCAAGTGATCCAAATTTTGCAACAAATTGGGTACAAAATAACGTTATTCCATATGCTTCTCTTCTTGATTTTACATACATTTCAGTAGGTAATGAAGTGATACCAGGACCATTAGCAAGTTTTGTATTAGGAGCCATGCAAAATCTGGACTCAGCAATTAGAGCCTCTGGTTATTACATACCTGTTACAACAACAATCTCGTTACAAGTTTTAGCAACCTCGTATCCTCCTTCGAATGGCGCGTTCTCTGAGGAGGCCGTTCAATTTCTGCAGCCCATTGCACAATTTTTAGCTGCAAAATATTATCCGTTACTGGCTAATGTCTATCCTTATTTTGCTTATTCTGGAAATTCTGCTCAAATTCAATTAGACTATGCACTTTTTCTAAATACGGCTCCGATTGTAACTGACGGGGCGTTGCAATACAAAAACTTGTTTGATGCAATGGTGGATTAATTCTCTGTATGCTGCATTGGAGAAACTACGGTGGAAGTTGTGGTTGCGGAAACAGGATGGCCAACTGCTGGCGATGTTTATGCAACTATTGGGAATGCTCAAACATATGTGAATAATTTGATTTCACATGTTTCATCTGGACAAGGAACTCCTAGGAAGCCTGGAAAAGCTTTGGAGACGTACATTTTCGCTCTCTTTAACGAGAATCAAAAGACTGCTGGTGTAGAAGAAAATTTTGGTTTATTTTATCCTGATATGAATGAGGTTTACCATGTCAACTTAATACCCTAGAATAATTAACGTGTGTATAGATAGCATGGATCTATATAGCTCTCTGTATCGAGGAAAATGTTGTATTTTCCTGATCTTCTTAGGTAAATCCGTTTAAAATTTATTGCAAAATGATATATGTATGCATTTCGAACATATATTATTTGAGCCTCCTAAATATGATTTTTACCTCTTGCTTTGATAACTCTTCAATTCTACTATTTTCAGCTAAGAATTCTACTTTTGATCTTCCATATATTAGCTTTGATTAGGATGTACTAAATGGTTTGATTCAGCCGATTATTTCAAAAGTAGTATAAGTTTATATTTATTTATTTTAGGATTTATGACGATTAGAATTTAACTTTTTGAAATCGTCATAATCCATTCCTAGAAAATTTGAAATTAGCTATGAAATTTATCAATAATTTTTAGCAAATCTGTAGGGAATTATCTCTTATTACCTAATTGTATTTTCATATAATCTGTCGCTAATCCATAGCTAAAAAGAATTATCATGGATTTTTTATTTTTTAGCTATAAAATTTTGTTCATCACTAATTGCTTGTGTTTTTTTTTAGATCATTCAGTTTTTTCTTTTCGATTTTCATTCGATTTGGTTAATGTCGTTACATTATATTTTTAAAGGTAAAAATAAATAAATGATATTTCTAGTACTCAAAAGAGAGAATCTTGACATTCCTCTTTAATTTTTCTATGTATACTACCAAAGTATATATTTATTAGATGATTTATGAGGATATGAGGGTAATCACATCACTTCATTGGTACTATAGGTCTTTTCATATGTTTTTCCGTAAAGAAATGAAATATTTTTTCACTTCTTGGACATAACTCAATGAATAATCATCCGTTTTAAGTTCACTATTATTGTCAGACGCGGAGCTAGGTGGAGTTCATGGGTTGGACGACGAATCCAATAGCTTTTCCGTAGACCTATATTTGTATTAGAAAATTAATTAAATATATATTATATTAATTTGTGAATCCCTAACAAAATTGATTGACCGTTATTAATGAAATTTAGAATTCCCAAACTCTTAATCCTGGTTTCGCCTCTGATTATTGCTTCTTGCTTTTCTGATAACGTTGTTGGATAACCATGCCTGAGAACAAGCCTAATCTATTTAATTGCTTTCATATCGTCAATTGTTTCATTGTTATTTGTTTCCTATCATTATCGTTAATCATGTTTAATAAGCAATCTTATGAATTAGTAGGTTATCTCAAACTACGTATCTTTGAACCACATTAGCAAATTAAATTACCGACTTAAGAGTAATTATCAACCTAGAACTTACAACCACTTGCTTCTTGTTAGAAAAAATATTTTTTTCTTACGGAAAAGGGACAAATATACCCCGAACTATCGTAGATGCAGGGCCGACTCAATAAAATTGGGGGCCTAAAGCCAAACTTAAGAGAGGGGCCCTAATATTTAATTTTTTTCATTATATATACTTTTATTTAAAATCTACTTTTCTAGCTATTTTAGATGCGAAGTCATTAGGTACTGTTTTATAATCAATTTGTTTTAATAATTCCTTTTCAAATGATAATATAGCATTATTCAATCTCTCATAAGACATTGTTGATCTTAAAGAAGATTTAATCAATTTTAATTTCGAAAAAACTTCTTTCGGCTGAGGCAACAGTTATAGGAACTGTTAACACTATTATATAAGCAATATGTGTATTTGGAAAAGAATCAAGTCTTTTTGTTTGATAGGGTATTTTCATTAGATCATTATCTTCTACTTCTATTATTTCCCTTAACACTTTTAATTTAAAAAATAAATCTAAAACCATCAATATCAGAATAACTATTACGTGTTAAAGAAAGTTCAAGGTTAAGACAATATCTTTTTTTTAAAATTCTCATCATCTAGTGATCTCAATATTTTACCACTAAATAAGAAATCAAAAATAATTTCCATATGCTTCAATTGGTTCAAATATATTTTTGAAGTGAAAAAATAGTTTGATCTACTCTACATTATATAAAGCAATTAACTCTAAAAGATTCTTCAAGGGGACTTTGTGATTTCGCTATCCATATTTTCATCAAAGTGTTTCTTACGAAATTCAGGTTTATTTTCATCTCATATGCAATTTTTTTAGTAGAAATCATAACACTCATAGTACATATAATTTTTTTCTAAAATAAAATATATAAGTAATTATTTTTTTAAAATGGGGGGCCCAAAATATATGGGGCCCCAAGCGATGGCTTTAGTGGCCTAGGGGTTAAGACGGCCATGCGTAAATGGTATGCAGATACCCTCCGTCATACTTTTGGGACATTGGTGCCCCTGCCGTCTAAAAACTAGAGCATATATGCCCTTCACTTTAACGGAAGACTAAATAGGGACACGCGGTGCAATCTTATCCATCGATCCGATATTTAATAAATGTCGGGTCAGTAGATAAGATTATGACTCATGTATCAGACCATTTATGATAGTACGAGAGTATATTTTGTCGTTTTTCCCTTTTTTCTTATGAAGAATAGAATTTAGCTTAAAGCTTGTCAAGAATATTGTACGTCCTTAAGGATAATCTACCCATAAAGTAGATATTATTATTAGGCATATCCCTAGCATTCAAAAAGTTCTTTTAATAATTGTGTAATTTGATACTCCAAGTTGGAGTTTTAAAAGAAAAAAGTACTCGGAAGACTAGTTGTGTGTTTTGATATGAACTTCACTTAGAAAAAAAAGTTTCGAATTTTGTAAGTGCAAACTTGAAATAAACTCCTCAAACTTGCTTTACAATCTTTAGGTAGTCGTTTCTACACGAATTAATTATTTGAACAAAACAAATAATAGAATTTGATATTGAGTAAAACAAAGGTATTTAGAAGTTAAGATTGTGCGTTAATTTGGACATAAAACAAAATTAAACTTTTGAGAGTAAATTTTTTTAAAATTTTTTTTTATCTCAAACCTATTTTTTGAACTTCAAAATTTATATTTCTAGTTTGAAGTTGAAATAATTGACTACATTATAAAAATATCACTTATTTGAAATAAATTGCAGCTACTATTTCAAATATTTGATGCAAAAGTTATGAACAAAATATTAGACTCCCAATAAGATATAGGTTAGGATTCTCTTCTCAATTAGTGAAAAAGGAAAAAGAATATGTTACATTTTTCAATTTATAATAATTGATTATTTTTTTTATTTTATCCTTGATAAGATTATATGTATTCGCATAAATATTTATAGCCAATATTGTTTGATCAATGTTTTTTTTAAAAAAAAAATTGTGTCCAATTAAATATTATCACTTAAATTGAAATGGAGCAATTAACTTTGTATAAGTCTCATTAAGTAAAGTCCTTTTCTAGGCTAGTGTGTTTAGTATGAAGGAAATTATTTTCATGAAAAATGTTTTCTTGAAAAATAAGTTGGTTTTTAACTTACTTTTTCATGTTTGGTTGATGAGTGGAATCTGACATTAAACTGGACCCAACTCCAATCCCAACACCGAACTTGGACACAACTACAATAATTGACTTGGAATCCAATCGCGACAACCAACCCAAGATTTGACTACGACTCCCGACCTGAGACCAAATATTTGAAATAGACTCGAACTTGACCCCAATATCAACATCCGACCACGTGACTGATCCAGATGCCAATCCCAACACCTGACTCTGGACCCGACCCCAACCCTCCAATCAGGATTCAATTGTTTCGAGCCAGGACCTGACCCTAACACCCGACTCAGACCTTAGACCTAACTTCCAAACTGGAGGCGACCATCAGACCCGACTTCCGAACTTAGATTCGATCCCGACACCTGACTTCTGAATCGGAATTTGACTCTGTCACCCAACAGTCGACCTCTATACCTGAATCGAGATCTAACCCTGACATCTGACACCAGACTCTAAGACCTGATCTAGGATCCGACTTTCGAACCAGAATTTGATCCTAACACTTGATTCGAGATTCGACATCCGAATGAGTATCCAACCCCAACACCCTACTTCTACACCTGACCTCGACTTGAAATTTGAACCCGACACTTGATTTGGGATCCAATTTCAACTTTCAACTCAAAATCTGACTCTGACACTCGACACAGAATTCCATTCTGACACCTAACTCGGGACCCGACAACCGACTCGGGATCCAACCTCGAATTTAGACATGGAACCCGACTTCCAAATCGGGATCAAACTCTGATCTGATATGAGAATTGGGTCTCGAATTGAGGACGAAAGTTTGGTCCTGAATTGAGAATCAAAAGTCAAATTTAGGATTAGTATTGGAAATCGGTATCCAAGACTTGAGTTAGGATGAAAAGTTGAGGTGTAAGGTTGAAAAAGAATTTTAGAAAATATTATCATCACTTTTTAGAGATGCGTCATTTTCTTTAAACTTGAGGAAAATAAGTAATTTGCAAAACATTTTCCAAAGTATTTAAGTCAATCAAACATGAGAAAATTGAAAAACATTCTCTAAAACATAATATTTTCCTTCCTATAAAACATATATGTCAAACGCATAGACACAGCTACCAGAATGACGATGTTAATGAATACAAAATGAAATTTTTAATGGAGGAAAGATTCTATTGTTTTAGATGGTCTGAGACAAAGTGTATTAGACTTCCGCTTCGTTTTATAAAGACTTTGATTGTGTTGAAATGTTTTAAAAATCTCATAATTTCTATTATCTTATGTTATGAAGGC